ATGGAAGCAGAATGGAACTGACTCAGGAATGAAGGGGACTGGGCTGGAGAGGCGGTGGGGCAAAGGCAGATGCTCTAAACACATTACATACTTGCATGAAAATGGCCTTATGGAACCCTGCATAGTTTTAATTCATTAATTCAAGAAATAGTCCTGGACCTTGATGTATTTAAATTTCATACCACAGAGAAGTGTGTAAAGTATAATTCCAATACCACATGGGACAAAAAATATGATAGCAGACATTTACCAGAAACACACAGATGCAAAGAGAAGTGGGAAAGGGAGTCAAGCACACCACACAGACAGCGGAGCGACGGGTCAGCTTGTAACCTCCGTCGCGTTCTGTATTTCCCGTTTTTTACCATATGCAGATACTCTTTCCTAATGAGGTAAAACGTTGTACGGCACATTTACAAGACTCGGAACTCGGATGAAGGAAGGATTGACAATGTGACCTACAGAGTCTTTGCAGGCTGAGCTCAGAACTAACCATGGAACAGTTTCCATCCCTCAACCAGGACTGTGCAGCCACCAAGAGGGAAAATTTAGACCAAGGACCTGTAGGGACGAAAAATGGTGGCCAACCTTATCATTAAGTTTAGTGGATTTAGAATCACCTAGGAGATAGTGAAACACAGTTCTGGGGGGTCTGTGGGACCTTCATGACCTCTGAGATTCGGAAGACCCACCCTGAATGTGCATGGCCCCGTCCTGAGTTGGGGCACAGATGGGATGAAAGAGGAGAAAGGAGAAGACCAGTTGCACCCCGCATTCCCCTTCCTGCTTCCTGGCCCAACATGACAGGAGGTGCCTGGCCACACGCTGCCTGCCATGCTGGGCAGACACCTCTGAAGCCATGAGCCAAATAAAGGCTTCCTCCCCAGCATGCTCCTGCCAAGGACTTTGTCACTTGCACAAGAAAAGTGACTGATATATGACCAAGTACTTTCTGGCCATTTTATCCCCCTTCCACGATGGTTTCCAAACTGCTACTGTAGTATGTATGGCCGATGAACATCTATTCACCACCAGCATCTGTGACAGTAACAGTCCCCAGAGGAATGAAAAACGCAGTTACGTCTGGTTTCCTACACTGGCCCGGCCTCCAAGGCTAGGTGTGGATTTGTTCTTTGTTATAAACCCATCTCTGAGCACTTGTTTAGGTGACTAGCTTATCATTCTGGAAACTCAAATACATTTGTCAGGGGAGAGCTGCTAGCTTATTAGCTCCGTAAGACTCAGTTCTGACACGTGCTTAATTGGTGAGAGCGCAAAAAATAAGTCTAACAACAGAAAAAGCACCTCACTTTCAAAGCGCTACATCAGTGCTGTCACCTCATATAAACTGTCCTGCTCGGTCCCCAGAACCAGCTCAAGAGAAAGGCTGAGCTGACGCTTCTCCAGTTTCCCCAGCGATGAAACTGAGGCTGAGGTGAAACGACTGTTTTCTACACCATGCCCCCTTCAAGAGGATGACAAGATAGGGAGTACAAGAGCCTGAAAGCCAGGTTGTCAGACTTGACTTTCCATCACTGTTCTGACCAGAACCCATTCTCAGGGCAGTCACAGGACCAGTGAATGAGGGGGGTCAGTCAGTGAGTGAACAAGTGATTGAGTCAGTCGGCGAGTGAATGAATGAGGAAATGGGTGAGAGAATGAACGCACGAGTAAGTGAATGAATGAGTGAATGAATGGATAAATGAATGTGCAAATGAGTGAATGAATGGATGAGTGAATGAGTCAGTGAATGAATAAGTGAATGAGTCAGTCAGTGTCCTAGTTTGTTCTTCATTGCTGTGACAAAACACTCTGACCAGTACCAACTTGGGGAGGAAAGGGTTTATTTGT